AAAATCTTTAAAAAAAAAAAAAAAAGGCTATATCTGAGAATTTCAATATCTGGAGGCCCAATTTTATCATCTTTTGTTTCTCTTTCTTCATGCTGTTTACATCTTTGTGCATCTGGTTGCTTTTGATTATAAATCAGACATTACATTTGCAAACTGCAGAAATAATTTGTGGCCTTGCATGATATTACCTTCCTCCAGGAAGGATCCACAATTCTGCCAGATGCCTGCTGCCATCAATCTAATTTTAGAGAATGACATGATTCAAAGCTGATCTGCAGCCTCTGTGACAGCATGCCCACTTCTAGTTAACCCTTGCACCTATAGTGTAGCCCTTCAGGGTCCCAACTCAAAATAAGGCATGTTCATCAGGTGTCTCTTCTTTGTGGGCCATGGGCTCTAATCTCTGCCCCACTTATGCCCACCAGCCTCTCAAAAGGGCTGCATAGCTATTTAGCAGCTCCCTCCAGAAACGGCTAATACCTCCAGAGGAACAGTGACCCATACACTAGGACCTTTTTTTCTGGGCCTCCATTCTCTTCCTAGATCTTGTAAGTTCTCTGATGCCTCCAAGCAAAAAATTTTAAAATACTTTGCTGAGCTTTTCCGATAGTCTTCAGCAGCAGGCATGATTCAAATTACCTAATCTGCCACTACCAGCAGTCCCAGATTTTATCTACATTTTCAACAATTTCATTGCTCGTCATTGTTTCTTACATCCACTGTTTCCTCCTGGGTTCAATTTCCTTCAGTCTCAAGTACATCCTGTTTTACATTCTTCCAGCAAACATCTGTGACTAGTTAATTCTACTAGCCTTTGCCTGAAAAAATGTCTTTATTTCACCCTTATTCCTGAGTGAGAATTAAGCTGGGTATAAAATTTTAAGTTGACAGCTATTTTCACTTAGCTCTGTGGAGATATTATTCTACCGTTTTCTGGTATCTCTTGTTGTTGTTGAAAAGTTTGCTGTCAATGTAGTGGTATCTCTCTGTCATCATCATTTCTTTTTTGTTGATATTAAGATGTTTCTCTTTTTTCTTGGGCATTCTCCAGTTTCACTACAAAGGTTCTAGATATAAATGAATTTTTATTTATCCTATTTGGACTCATAGTGCTACCTGGATCTGAGTATTTATGTTTTTTATCAATTCTAGAAAATTCTCAGCCATTCTCTCTTTGAATACTGCTTCTACACTATTCTTTCTATTTGGACTTCTCATTTTAACCCTGTTATCTCAACTTCTCTTTCATATTTTCCATCTCTTTATCTCTCTGTGCTAAATTCTGGGTTATTTCTTTAGATCTATTCTTTTGTTCATCTTTCTCTTCAGCTGAAACTTATCAGCTTATGTTTAAACTGGTTGCTGAGTTCTAAGTTTTGATTTCCATTTCTTGAAGCTATTTTAGCTTCCCCTGTGAGAATCTCTTGTGGCCTCAATTGTTGGAGTATCCCTTGGGATTTCCTTATATATGACAACCCTATGGTATCACAGCTCGGGATTAATTTTTAAATTAATTTCTCAGTGTGGGGGCTCTAGACTACCTAGGTGGTGTGTGTGTGTGTATTCTTTTTTTTTCAAATCCTAAACAGCATGAGTCAAGGATCCACGGTTTAGAATTCCCATGGGAGATGCCCCAGCTCCACTCCAGAACCTAGGCAGTTAGTTAAATGTTTTTGTTATTTCTCCGTGCTGGTAGGTGGAAATTTTCTAGTCCACTCTTTTCATTGAGGACACAACCCTTTTGAAGGTTCCAGTTCATATTCCACACTTTAAATGAGTTCAAGGACTCATTTTCTGACCCCTAGTGGGTGCTAAAACCTAAATTCATACATTACCAAAACCAAAAGCTACAGCTCATATCTTTACCACTGTAATTTTCAGAGTTTTCTTTTCATTTCTGGAGATTTCCTTTTCTTTCCTGAGAGCTCAATTATGTATTTAAAATTATTTTATATATATTTGTGTGTGTGTGTGTGTGAGAGGAAGATTAGCCCTGAGTTAACATCCGATGCCAATCCTCCTCTTTTTGCTGAGGAAGATTGGCGCTGGGCTAACATCCGTGCCCATCTTCCTCTATTTTATATGGGATGCTGCCACAGCATGGCTTGACAAGCGGTGTGTCAGTCCACACCCAGGATCCGAAACTGCGAACCCTGGGCCGCCAAAGCGGAGCATGCGAACTTAAGCACTACGCCACCAGGCCGGCCAGATTTTAGTTATATTTTACCCAGCATTTGAAGGTGTTAGTAGAAGGAAGCTTTTCAGGTTACCTAGTCTACTGTATTGCCAGAACCAGAAACCCCATGGCATTGTTTTTAAACTTTCTGTCAATGAAATAAATATGTTAATATTAGTTAGGGTTCTCCAGGGAAACGGAACCAAAAAGATATATATATATATATATATCTCCATATGTTCATTCATATATATATATGAATCATTCATTCATATATATATCTTTATATATGAATGAATCCTGGGCCGGCCCTATGGCTTAGCGGTTAAGTGCATGCGCTCCGCTGCTGGCAGCCCGGGTTCGGATCCCGGGCGCGCACCAATGCACCGCTTCTCCAGCCATGCTGAGGCCGCATCCCACATACAACAACTAGACGCATGTGCAGCTATGACATACAACTATCTACTGGGGCTTTGGGGGAAAAATAAATAAATAAATAAAATTATGAATGAATCCTATTGGTCACCTGAAAACAGATAGACACATATCTAGATATACAGCTATATAGATCTATCTATCTATCTATAGAGATTGACTGATTGATTGATTACAAGGAATTGGCAAACACAATTATGGGGGCTGACAAGTCCCAAGATCTGCAGTCAGCAAGCTGGAGACCCAGCAGAGCCAATGGTATAGTTTCAGTCTGAAGACCTGTAAGCTCAAGATCCAGGAAGAGCTAATGTTTCAGTTTGAATCTGAAGGCAGGAAAAAACTGAGGTCTCAGCTCAAGGCAGTCAGACAGGAGAAAAATTCCCTCTTACTCAAGGGAGGGTCAGCTTTTTTGTGCTATTCAGGTCTTCAACTGTCTGGAGGGGGATCACCCACATTAGGGAGAGCAATATGCTTTACTCAGTCTACCGCTTCAGACGGTAATCTCATCCAGAAACACCTTCATAAACACCCAGAATAATGTTTGACCAAATGTTTGGGCACCCCGTGGCCCAGTCAAATTTACACACAAAATTAAGCATCACAGTTAATAAACTCTGGTTTGATTTTTAATTAATTTTATTTTTTTTCTAAGACCCAAATAAAGCTTTCCTTTGAGACCTAACAACTCATACCCATCATTATACAACTGAGCTGACTTGGTGGTAAGTAAGCTAGCTTTCTGCACATGGACCTTGCATATACATAATTCTACAAGTCCCTTTATGGATTTAATTTCTCCCTTTTCCAAAGGATAAATGAGTTGAAGTCTCTGGAAGTAATGTGGAACAAAAGTGTCACCTGAAAATATATTCATGATCTGTTTTTGCAAAATCTGCAGCTTATACAATCATCTCTCTTTGTATTGTGAACATGTGGGTAATGACATCTGCTCACATTATGTAAATCCCCCCTAATCCCCGATTCAGTGACATATATTAACTAGGTACTAAATAAATTTTACCTGCAAGTTTTTCAAAATATAGATCACAGTAACAAGTTTTGCACCATAACTCTGGGTTTCCTTCACCATATAAGTGATAACAAACTTTTACTAAATTGTACTTATATTAACATTACCCTCCTTTGCTCCTCTTCAGCATCAGCAAAGAGTTTACGAATGTTAGCCTCTGATTCTCCCACATATTTGTTAAGGATTTCTGGTCCGTTGACCACTTTGGGCTCTCTTGCATTCAACATCTTGCCAATCTGTCGAGCCAACAGAGTCTTACCACAACCTGGGGGCCCATATAACAGGATGCCTTTAACATGTTTGCAACCTAAAAAAAAGAGAAAACAGTCTTACATCAACTAACTAAAATCCAAGTATGACATGTAAAGGAAAGTTTTCTTTCTCCTTCATATTCACTTTAGGAAAAACACAATGATGTCATCAACATATATTAATATCCAGGTGCCATGAACAGAATAAGAATGAACAACTAAAGCTCTTTTTTAAATAGAAAATCCAGAAAAAATTCCTACACCAATACTAATATTTGAGGGGGAAAAGCTGCCAACTAAAGACCTTTGGAAAAGTATATTTAAACTATCATCTAGAAGAAATACTTTTAACTCTGAAAATGTCTCTTTGACCTAAATACCTAATTAGGAACTATTACATATTTTTCATTATCCTTCACTTTAAAGTCAGGGTAAAAAAAGATCTGTCTTTAGGCAAATTTAATCCAACACAAATCTATTATGATACGGTAGGCTATGGAAACCATATCTTAGTCATAGAATTACAGGTCTACCTGTCAATACAAGCACCTGCGAAGGGCAGACATGTCTGAGATGGATGGGTATAGAGCAATCCATAGGATACAGATGGATGTTACAGACTTTGTGGATAAAGCTGAATGTCTTACTTCATGTGACTAATGCCAAGTGAGGCACACGCTTTCTTCAGAGCCACCCAGATGAAGTTTCAAAAGAATAGTATTCAATTCTTTTCTAGGCAAGCATTACTAAATGCCTTAAAGGTATCATTAACAATAGCAATATAGCAAGACTGATGATTTAGACTCCTCAGGATTTCTTTAGCCAACTCCACATGAGCATTTACTCCATTTCTTAAGACAACCTGTGGTTTTTGTTTACTCACTATGGGAATTCTCACCTTTCTAGCAGTTTCACACTTAAGATGCATGAATCTTTTCTTATGAGTTTTTTCTTTCTACTACCCCAAAAAAGCACTCTGTGACAATAGATGTTAGTGCAGAGCCGGTCTTCCTCAGCAAAAAGAGGAGGATTAGCACGGATGTTAGCTCAGGGCTGATCTTCCTCACACACACACACAAAAAAATGCACTCTGTGAAATACTGAATTATTAGATTTCAGTGTTACACTTGAAATTACAGGTGAAAAGAAAATTTCTGGAAATGGAATATAAATAGGGTGTTTTTTATGGAAAATAGTTTGTCCTCATATGGAATGAAAGCCTTAAAAAATTCTATCTTTTAAGAAAAAATTGTGACAATATATTTAATAACTCACATGAAAGAAATACCAAGATACAACCAACTCTATCAGAAATTTTAGATTCTAAAGAGGAAAACCCTTTGGGTTGCCAGTAATGTCACTGATTCTATTTTTATGTCAAGAAAAGACTCCCTTTTAAATCCTTGAAAGTAATGAGATCTGTGCTTATGGTTAGTCTTGCAGAGACAAAGGGAACTTAGTAGAAACTCTTGAAGGCTTAGAGTCTTAACCCTTCTCATCACAGAGTAAATTCCTGTCCTAAGAATGGTAGCCCAATAAAATGTCTTTGCCCTTGACCCACCCTTGGAGCATGAGTGGTAGGGAGATAAGAGGATAAGCCTTGAGCTTCTCCCACAGGCCAGCACAACAAAGTATAGCCAGCATCCAAGCCACTGGGAAACATGTGACAAGGACTTTGGAACCTGGCTCCTAATAGTCTCCTCCAAGCCAACTGCTATCATCATGATGTCAAACTATTCATATAAACCATAGCAGAGGCAGGTGGTGGTGGTGGTGAAACAGGTACCAGAAGAGGAGAGACAGAAATGAGAAAATGAAGACTTGCTGAGCACATACAAAGTACAGGCCTTATCCTCATCTCCAGTTTCTTAACTTCCTCCAAGTTTATCAACTTTCTCCTAATCGTACTTCCTTCCATATTAAGCCACACTTTCTTTCAAGGACTCTCAACAACCTGGCCTTCTTATACTTCTGTTATACTCATTCCACAAGCCCTGACTGTGGCTTTACTGCACCTATGCACTGGCCGCAGAGCTCAGCCAGAGAAAACGATGTCACTGTGCTGACTGGTATCCTCACAGTTTCCCATGCTGTCCAATTCCAGTGCTACTCTCACTGCTTTCTCAGTACTGCATGCCACCCTTTACTTGCTTTTGTTAGTTCATCTCCCATTCTCCTTAGTAATTATCCAGATCTTCACGATTCTTCTCTTCTCAAGCGCTACCCCATACCATTCATTCTTAGAGATGATCTAGATTCCTACTTCGCATATTTAAAAACAAAGACTGTCAGGTATGAACTCCCTTCAGCTCCCTGCTCCTCTATCTATAATTTATCTGCAGACACACTCATTCTCAACTTCAGCATTGGTTCTCAATGGAGGAGTTTCCTTCCTCTTCTCCAAGGTTTAAATTGCAATTATTTGTTTATATATCTTCTTCTCTACTAGACTGTGAGCTATTCAAGGGCAGGTACTGTGTGTGTCATCAATCCAGAAGTGCAAATACCCAGCATAATGCCTAGCACATAATATGTACTCAATAAATGGCTAAATAAGTAAACTATTGATACTTTTCCTACAAAACTCAAAGAAAATGAGGGAGAGGAGACTGTTTAAAAAATTATTTGAAGCTCTTAATTTAAGGAACACTGTTTACTTTCACAGCTAAACTAATTTAAATACCCTAAAAAACACATTTGCAAGGACTAGGACTTTATAAATTTAGCAAACAAACTACATGATATATAAATACTAGAACCTTAACTCTGTAACTCTGTTTTTGTATGTGGAAAATGCTCAATTTAATGTGTTTTGAATTAAATTGACTTCAGTTTAATTCAATTTAAATTAATTATTAAAATAAATAATTCACAAAATATTACCATGAAGTTTGAGAGAAAGAGAGAAAATACATATCCATGGAACTTATATATAATACAGATCTCTGAAATGACAGAATCTGTTCAATATAACATCAACAGGAATATCATAGAAGCTCTAGTCTGCATTAGAACTATAATTCTTTTAGGATCTCAAGAAAGCACATCAAAAACATACATTGACATGTGAAGATTCTCAAAATCCACTTCCACAAAGGAAGCAGTTACTTGAATAAGCTGTGGAAATGGGACTTTGTTATTACTATTATTATTATAGCCTATTCTGACTTATTAAATAAGCTTTGGTCTCTAATTTTAAATGAGTCATAAAAACTCTTCCTAAGTAATTCCATTCAACAAAAGTGTATTAAGCTCCTGTTTGGACTAGGCACGAAATAGGTGTTAGGGATACAAACATGAAAAAGGCAGTCCCTACCTGCAGGGCATTTCTGGTTTAGTAGGAAAGGCAGAAATAAAAACAGGTTATCTACAATATAATATGACATTATCAGAGATATGTATGAAATGTTTGTGGACCTAGCCAAGAGAGACTGATTCTGTCAGGGTGATGGACAGAAAATTAGGGATGGACACAGGGGAAGAGGTAACATTCAGTCTGGGCCTTGAAGGACAGGAGGCTCATGGTTGGGCCAGGAAGAGTAAATGGCACTCTAAAGAGAGAGACTAGCATGATCAAAGGCAGAGAGGTATGGATGTAGAAGTAGTCCTCTCAAAACAGCCAGTAGTAACCTGTTGTGGCTAGAGCCTTGGAGGAGAGGAAAGGGGAGTGCCTGGAGATGAGGCTGACAGGTTCCCAACTATGGAAGGCCTTGACACCACGCCCAGGAGTTTTTCATTTGTTTTGTAAAAACCCTGAGGTTTGTTTTTCGTTTTTTTGTTTTGTTTTGTTTTGTTTTGGTGAGGAAGATTGGCTCTGAGCTAACATCTGTTGCCAATCCTCCTCTTTTTTGCTAAGGAAGATTAGCCCCGAGCTAACATCTGTGCCCATCTTCCTCTATTTTTTGTATGTGGGACGCTGCCACACATGGCTTGACAAGTGGTGCATAGGTCCATACTCAGGATTCGAACCTGCAAACCCCAGGTTGCAGAAGCAGAGTGCGCAAACTTAACCACTATGCCACTGGGCCAGCCCCAAAACCCTGAGGTTTTTAATAAGGGAAGGTGCACAAGAGATATGTGTTTAAAAACTAACTCTGGTGGTAGAGCGGAGGAAGGACTAGGAAAAAAAGAGGCAGAGGGTGGAAGTCTAGTTGGAGGAATGTTCTTAATCTTTTTCTGGGGACACTGCCTCCCTGGCTGGCTCTGGATTTTGACCAATTAAGCTTTCATATCCCTCCAAGTCCTTTGGAAGCATAGGTCCAGAAGCCTCAGAAGGACAGTTCCCTACTGGTGCCCCTGCTGATGCCCCAGCTTTCTCCTGAGCATCTCCAGGGCATTAAAGCACGACTCTGATGTCGGGGAGCCTCTGATCTCTGGTGGCTGGACTGTCTGACTGCTGAACTGCACTGATTGTTGTTACTTTTTTTTTTTCTTTATGTCTTACATGCCCTCTCAGTACTCAGAGATCAGTGCCCTCAGTTAGGGAACTAAATAGCAAAGGGCAGGCATGGAAGAAGGAGAAACCAGCGAAACTGACTCGTGTAAATTGTCATATTCTCTCACTCTATCTCTCGCTTTCTTTCCCATGGAATATTCAAATGTACCTCCCCAGAAAAATGCACATGTACCAAAAATTTGCATGTAATTTTGAGGGGATTCTTAGACCCTCTGAGGTCCATTCACGGAACCTAAATTAAAAACTCCTACTGAAAAAACAACCTAACAACTCGGAGAAGAGATTTGCAAACCATATATCTGATAAGGGGTTAATATCTAAAATATACAAAGAATTCATACATCTCAACAACAAAAAAACTAAGAACTCAATTAAAAAATGGGCAAAAGATCTGAACAGACATTTCTCCAAAGAAGATATATGTTCAACACCATTAACTATCAGGGAAAAGCAAATCAAAACTACAATGAGAGATCACCTCATGCCCATCAGAATGGCGATATTTAACACAACAGGAAACAAGTGTTGGAGAGGATGTGGAGAGAAGGGAACTCTCATACACTACTGGTGGGAGTGCAAACTGGTGCAGCCACTATGGAA